GACAGACAGACAGGTCTGGCTTCAGCATCTAGAATGGTTTCTCCGTTCCAACAGAAACTCTCAACCTTGTCCCCAGTAGCAGCAGTAGGCTGCCAGGATTGGAGGAAATCAAAGCACATGCCACAGGCCTGGGCTCTCGGATGAATAGATTCCCAATTTTCTACAAGTAGAAGGCAACAATTTCTCTCTTCGGGAAGAAGAGTCAACGACCCGGCCCTTTCTCTTTTAGCAAAAAGGGCCCTTGGGCCCATCCATGGCTTCGAGGCCCTCGTGGCCAGCCGCTCCCCCATCTGACATGAAAATTTCAGTGTCTGACTCAGTGGCTGGACGAAAAGCCATGAAGCATAATCTGCACCCCTATGCCAGCAGGTCGGCGGCGGTGACATATGGACAGGTCTCCGGGCACAAAAGTGAGGAGGATGCGACATAAATCTGTCCCAACTCCAGGCTCAGGCCGGGGCAGAGCGTGGCTACCCTGTCCATCCCGGCCTGACCCCCGCAGGCACAAGACTGGTCTACAACACTGCCCCAAGAGCGCGCCTTGCCGATGTCCCAAGTGGGATGGGGGCAGTCATCAGTGACACAGCACTTTAGGAATGGTCTCCCACTTTACTCCCCCCCCCCCCCCCCCCCATCAAAGGGGCACACACAGCTGGCCTGCTACTATTTCCCTAAGTCAGACACAGAAAGGAACATTTCTGAGGCACTGGAGCAATAGGACAGTGGTTAGGGTGTTTGCCTGACATGCGGCTGACCCAGGTTCCAGCCCCAACACCCCACAGGGTCCCTCGAGTCTGCCAGGAATGATCCCTGAGTGCAGAGCAGGAATAAGCTCCAAGCACCTCTGGGTGTGGTGTGGCCCCCCAACAAACGGCCTTCTAACACCAGCCAGGCGCCCTGTCCAGCGTCTCACACGTCTCACACGAGTCCTTCTATCTAACGCACGCATAAAAGGAACCAGACAGGCCAGAGTCTACAGGGGCTAAAGCACTTGCCTTGAGGCTGGAGCGATAGCACAGCGCGTAGGGCGTTGGCCTTGCACGAAGCCGATTCGGGTTCGATTCCCAGCATTCCCATAGGGAGCACCTTTAGGAGTAATTCCTGAGTGCAGAGCCAGGAGTAACCCCCTGTGCATCGCCGAGTATGACCCCAAAAAGCAAAACAAACAAACAAAAAGTACTTGCCTTGCTCATAATCCACATGGGGCTCAATTCCCCCATGCCACAAAAAGTCTCCCAAGCATTGCCATGAGCGAGCCCTGAGCTCTGCCAGGTGTGAGCCAAACACTTAACAGTAACAACCAAAAGGCCAGATACAGATAGTTGGGGGCGTGGTGGGGAGGGAGGTTGCCAGGGGTGGATCCTCCCACCTGCTGCCCCAGCATGACTGGGGTGTAGAGCCCTGGAGACCCCTCCAAACACTGCTTCTGGAGGCCTTTACATTGAACCTGCAGGATGGGCCAAGTATTCTTAGGAGTCATTCGCACCTCCGCTGCGTCTGGGAGGCAGCCCACACCCCCTCCCTGAGAGCTGGTATGCTACTGCCCCAGTTCTACAGAAGAGGAAGCTTGAGAGATTATCATTTGTCTAAGATCGGACAACTTGTAAATGAGAGAGATAAGCCAGCTAATAATCTATTCCGCGTTTCTCCCCCCACCCCTTTGGAAAAGAAAAGGAAAAAAAAAAAAAAGATGAAAATTTTGCTACCGGTTAAGTCCTTGGATGTTTCTGAGACAGAACCCAAGAGACAGAGTCCCGGGGTCCTGCCAGTGCGGTCTCCACCGCTTCCTAGGCAGACGAACAGTCTCCGAGCTAGGCCCACCTCCCCCTCCCGCCCAAGAAAGGCCTAGCCACACAATTCTGAGTCTTACAGCCAAGTTTCAATACAAGTTCAAAGGAGCTCGGGCCCAGAGAACTAATACAGGGGCCTAGGCACTTGCCTTGCATGAGGCTGACCCCAATTCAATCCCCTGAGTGCCACCAGGAGTGATCCCTGAGCTCCAAGCCAGGAGCAGGCCCTGAGCACCACCAGGTGAGACCCACCCCACCCCCCCAAAAGTACAAAAGAAAAGAAACCCAACTGCTAATTCAGTGTTGGAGGAGGACTCTGGAATATAAGTCTCTCCCGACAAAGAGCTAAAGTTTTACAACCAACTCGGAAGAAGTGAGTTTCATTTTTTAAGGACTTTGAGTACAATGAACTACATATAAATCTGGCCAGAATTTGGAAGAACTGGTCCAACCAACAGGCTGCGATTAAATAAATAAATAAAAACTCCAAAAAACAAAACGAAAAAAGCAACCTGGGGGTCTCTCCAATAGCCATGATGGAAATTTCCCTCCCTGAAATCTGAGTGCAGTCCAAGGAGCACGTGGAAGAGCTGATTGTTTCAGACCCGGGTTGGGATCTAATAGAACCCCCTGCGAGAGGGACCCTGAAAATAGGTCCAAGCCCGCTTAGGGGGAGGCAGTTAAGAGTAGTTAAGGCTAATCAAGCCATGAGGTTGCGTCCAGACTGTCTCCTGCCCACCGCGAGGGGCATCAGCTCTCCTGGCTTTCCCCCAAGGCTGGCAGACCCAGCTACTTCTCCCCAAGACAAGTGGGCACACCCCCCACCCCCACCCACTCCCCAGCAAGTATCCCAGGGGTGGATGGGAAAAAGCCGGGCGCCTGCCAGCCGGGAGATCAGGCAGGGAAGGGCCAGGACCTGAAAATAGCCTTTATTCCCCAATCCATCTCCCGGGTCTCAAAGTGACTTTTGTTCAAGACCCCCCTCCCCCGCTCCGCATCGTCTGCGCGTCTCCCCCCAAATCAACCCGAGCGCGAGCCGGGGCGGAGCTGCGCCCAGGTGAGGTCAGTCCCCGCCCGGTGGGTGTGCAGGCGGGCGGCTCCGGACCCGGCCCACCCCGCACCGACCAACAGAGCCGACCGGGACTGGTTTCTCGCCTCGTGGGGGCCAGGCGAGCCTCACCACGAGGGCGAAGGCATGGAGGCAGGGAAGGAAGGAGAGAGAAAAGGCGGAGAGAGCAAAGGAGAGCCAGCCGGGGCCAGACCTCGGGCCACACTTCTTTCTAGTAGCAACAACAAAAAAAAAAGAGAGAGAGAGAGAGAGAGAGAGAGAAAGAGAGAGAGGAGAAGCCGCATACTGACCTAAATCATCTCTCAAAGGCGCTTTATAAATTCCGGGGACAAAGGGAAAGGGGGTGGCGGGGGGGGGGGTTGGACTCTGGGCACCCTGCAGACCCCCTCGCCGCTGACCCCCCCGCACCCTGCCAGCACCCCAAGGGAAAGGCGGGCGGCGCACCGGGGAGCCCCAACTCGTGGGGGGGCTCCCCCACGAGCGTGCAAGCCCCCCGGGGGCTGCTGCCCGCTCGCCCCCTCCACCGCGCCCCCCACCGCCTCCATCCCCGGGAAATAATCCCCGGCAACACCGTGCCCACCCCCTGGGGCGGCCACTCCCGGCCCGCGAGGCCGGCCCGCGGAGGCCGGGGCATTTACTTAGTTCGATTTTTCTTGCTTACTCATTTCCCTCGAGCACCCAACCCCCCGTTCCCACTCCCAAACCCCGCGCCGCCGCCGCCGCCGCCTACCCCGGGCGGCTCTCGGCCCCCCGCGGGATCCGGGGCGCGCGGGGGGCGGCCGGCCGGGCGGTGGGTGGGAGGGGGGGTGGGGAGGGGGAGGGGACCCGGCGGCGGCGGCGGCGGCGGCGGCGGCCCGGCCGTCGCGGTCACTAACCTGCTGCTGTAAGGGCATTTCCGAAAGCAGCCGGGCTCCGGGGGGACGGCGGGGGGCCCGGCCCGAGAGGGGGCCCGGAGGGCCGAGCCGAGCGGCGGCGCCGGGCGAGGGCGGCCGCCCGGGGCGGGGGTGAGGAGGGAGGGGGTCCAGGGAGAGGAGGGGAGGGCGGCCGTGCCAGGGGGGAGGGGGAGGGCGCCGGGACCGTCCCAGGCCGGGGAGCCGGCGAGCAGGAGGAAGTGGGTGCCCCCCGCTCCCCCTCCAGCGCCCCCTCCCGCCGCCGCCTCCTCCCCAGTCACAGGCGCGTCCTCCGCGCACGTGTGCGAAACGTCACCGGCGGGTCCCGGGGAGAGGGACAGACCCGCGCGCGGCGGGACGGGAACACGGCTGCCCCCGCCCTCCGGCGCCGGGGGGCGGGGAGCGGGGGGACAGGGCGGGGAAGGAAGGGGCAAGGGGAGAGGCGGGTCAAGGGCAGGCCCGGGGCCCGGCGAGGCAAGGCCCGGGCGCTCGGGCCACGCCGCTGCCACCGCTAGGATGCGCCCGGGGCCGGGGCCGGGGCGCGCGCGGCCCCGCACCCCGCGAGACAAGCCCACGCCCCAGCCCCGCGCCCGCCTCTCGACCCCCCACCCCGGCTCCGCAGCCCCCGCTTTGTAGCCGGGAGTTCCCGATCCCCCCACCCGCCCCCAAATGTCAAGCGCACCCCGCCAGGCGAGCACGCAGCAGGCGAGGGACCCACCCCCCCTCCTCCAACACACACACACACACCCAGGGCCTCGGAGGCCGATCGCCCCGAATCCCCTCCCTCTGGGTTCGCATCCCCTCCCCCGCGGAGCCCCCCGAACAACTCCCCAGTTCCACCACTCCCTCCCCCCACCCTCTTCTTCATCCGGGGCGTGACCCCTTCCTACGCCCGAGAAAGAGGAAGCATCGAGTTGGAGGGGAGGAGAGAGGGGGGGTGGGGGGGTTCGTGGAGGGGAAAGTGGAGGAAAAAGAAGTGAGGGGTGGGATGGGGCGGGGGCAGCGAAAAGTTTCCGAGTGTTGAACGCGGTGGTCCCCGCCGCCCCCGCCCCGAGCGAGCGACCCCCGACCCGCGTGGGCGCGGGGGACCGGGCCGGGGTGGGATGCGGGGATGCGAGCGCACGCGCGCGCCGCTCGCGAACAATGACCCTCGTGGGCAGCGAGGGCCCACCGCCACCCCGCGCCGGGGCCCACCCCCCGCGGGGCAAGGGGACACGGGTGGGGGGTGGGGTGGGGAGCGCAGGGCATTACCGGAGGGCCGCCGCCGCCGCCGCCGCCGCCGCGTCCCGGCGCTGGAGGCTGTCGCAGCAGCCCGGCCGTGCCGGAGGGTCCGTGCGGCGTGGTGTAGAGGAAGCTGCCGGCGCCCGGCTCCGCGCCGGGGGCACTGGGGAGGAGGGGGCCGCTTTGGAGGGAGGAGGAGCAGGAGGTGGTGGAAGTGTTGGTGCTGAGGATCTGGATGTACGCGCCCGAGGCGGCGGCGGCGGCGGCGGCGGCGGGGAAGCCGGGGCTGGCCAGCAGTGCCCTTTTGTCCATGGAGGCTGCAGCGGCGGCGGCGGCGGTGGCGGCGACAGCCGCCCCCTCCCCACCCCCGGCGGTCACCAGGTACTGCTCCAGGGCGGGCTGGATCCCCTTTCTCATCTCTCGCTCCTGCTCTCTCTGTCTCTGTCTCTGTCTCTCTCTCTCTAGGGCTACGGTCTAGGAAAGAGATTGTTTTCAATGTCTTTTATTATTTGCAGCCGGAGTTTCCAAGTCTCTCTCCTCCTTCTCTCCTCCCCGCCCGGCGCGTTGCGAGCCCCTTTCTCTCGCGCGCGCTCGCGCTTTTCTTTTTTTATTGTTTTCCGCACCGCACGGGCCCCCGGGGCCAAAAATAATCGGGGCTCTGGAGAGAGGAGGGTCCCGGCCGCACGGATATCGGGCCCCGAGGGGGGATGGAGGCGTCGGGGGCGGCCGATGCAACGGATTGCGAGGCGGCGGCGGCAGCCCGGGTGCTGCGGCCGGCAGCTGAAAAATGGCTCCAGGAAGCTGCTGCTGACAATGAATGAAGGGATACGGTTTACGCGCCAAGGTCCTCCCGCGAAACTCAGATTTCCCGCCGGCTTTTCAAATGACATTTGCATATCCCCGCCCCTCAGCCCGCCGAGGCCCGTGCGCGCAGCCCATTGGGCCGCGGGCGGCTCCCTTCGGTTCCAATCGCGGAGCCGGGGGCGCCGGCCTGCCGGTTTTCATTGGTTGCCGTGCATCACGGTTACCGGGGCGACAGGGACCCTATTTGCATACCCCGCCTCGATTGGTTGGGAAGAAGAGCAGGGCGGGTTACGGGGAGGGGCGAGGCCGGCGCTTCGCTTCCCACGGATAGACCACGCCTGGTTGGGCTCCGCCCCCCCGTCCCCGCCCCCGCGCCGGGCGGGCGCTGCTGACCTGGGCTGGGACTCCGCGCCCCGCAGACTCAGTGTGGATCTGCGCGCCACTGTGAGTTTCGCTTTTGGAAATTGTCAAGGTGACCAAGGGGACACTTTGGGGGGTGGGGGTGGGGGTGGGGAACTCTTTTCTTCTCTCGGGCCAGCCCCAGTCCTCGCTGCACTCCAGCGGGAGTTTCTCCCAAGCGCTGTTCCAAAGGCAACTTGGCCCGTTTGGGGAATCTGCCTTGGCAGGTGCCAGCGGAGCCCTTTAAATCGTGGGGTTCTCGCTTCCTGAAATCCAACCAGTGCTGCGGGCAGGGCTGCAGGCGAGGCCGAGGCTGACAGACAGAAGCATGTGGGCAGATGGAAGAGCGCGGAGGGGGCCGAAGGCTCCCCGGACGCGGTGGCGGGCAGCGTTTAGCTCACGTTGCTAAATTGCAACCCCGATCGCGCCTAGGAGCTTCGTTTTATCAGCCCGTGTTCGGTTAAAGTTTGCTTTTCTTTTTTTTTTTTTTAAGAGAAACAATTCTGCGTGTTGTTGCCACGAGTGTTGGTTTGAGGCCAGCAGGCACTCCCTGCCCCCACCCTCTGTGGCCCACAAGCACCCCGGGCTTTATTAAATCTGGGGCAACCGAGGTCTCATCGGCGGGTTTCTAATCCGCCTAGCAGGAATGCGAAGAAGTACTCGCTGCCCGCGACGACGTTTCTTTCTTTCTTTTTTTTTTTCTTCTTTTTTGCTCCTTCCTAAGCGCTGGCACGATCTGGCTTTTTCCCATGCAAGTCCTCGCGCTAAAAAAGCGAGCACGCCGGAGATCAGATGCATTCTGAGACAGCTTTCTTTTTCTTGGGGGGTAAAAAAATAAAAAATGAAGACTTTTTTTTTTGGCGGGGGGGGGGGGCTGCTACACTAGAAACAGTCGTCGGGAAAAAGATTCTTCTTACATTCTCGTCGGCCTGACTTCTGCGTGTTCATGGGTCTTAGAGCCGAAGACTGCTCACGTGAGGCTGAGCAGGAAAAGCCCCCCACCCCCCACTGCCCGGTGGGAATGTGGGAAAAGGGATCCGGATCCTCCTGCGCAGGTCCCGGTCCCTGAGAACTGCACCAAATCGCGGCTGGAGTGTGTCTCCGTCGGCCGGCCGCGGAGGGGGAGAAGGGGAGAGGGTTAGGGTACCTCAAGCCCTTTTGCAAAAGTTCAACAGCTGCATTATTATTCATCATTGCCTGGGGGGAGGGGTTGGGCCACACCCAGCGGTGCCCGGGGCCACTCCTGGCTCTTTGATAGGGCGGCACAGTGGGGATCTAACCAGGCTTGGCTTGCGGGAAAAGCCCCTGTTACTATCACTGATCCTCTTAGTAATTTCCTAATATGAACATACTCAGTCTTAGGGAAAGACTGAAGACATATGTCTATATAGGATTCCTTCATGCTCAGTGCTGTTGTTACCTTATGTTTAAAAATAAAGAAAAAGAAAAATAAAGACAATGGGCGGTGCTGAAAGTATTATTAAAACCTTGCCGAGGAACAAATGCCAGGCTCAGGAATATTCTCGACTTGCTTTCAAGCTAGTGGCCGATGGGGGCGGGGGGGGGGGCATGTGTAGGCGACGTTTCCAGATACCCCATCCAGGCAGGGACATTATCTTTAGTGTAGATTAGGTCACATTTAAAGGGCTTCAATTCCTGGTTGGCCGAGAGGCTGAGCAAGCAAGCAGCTTCTTTGGTTTTGCTCCATCACTGTTCCTTTCCACTGTGGGTCACTATGAAGAAAAGTGTTACTGTAATGACTTGGCTAGAGCCACCTGCAGAACCCTGGCAGCCTGCATTTGGTGGCGGTGGTGAGGGTTGGAAGGCACCAGAACTGAAGCAGTTGTTAGAGACCTACATTCTAAGACCCGGAGAGACAAGCCCGGGATTTGGGGGACTGAGCATAGAATTCCTCTAACAATTCCCTCCTCTGGATAACAGTGAGATTAACAGGACACAGTGCCGAGGGAGGGAACATTCACTGTCCAGATCCCCTCCTGTAAGGCTGTGGTTAGAAAGCTCTGGAACATTTATCGTTCTACCATAGCCAAGGTACATACTTGAAGCCATTAGGTGGAGAAACAGGTCTTGTTATCTTATGACTGGTGAACCCAAGAGGAAGAAGGAGAGGGAAGGACACACACAAACACACACACAAAAAAGAGGATGTTGGAAGATAAAATGCAAAAATCTGAGGCAGACGTATTAACTTATAAAAGGGAACCCCCGCAAAAAAAAAAAGAAAGAAAGAAAAAGGGAACCCCCACTTTGGTTGAAAGGAAATGGGCTTTAGAGCCAGTGAGGTCAGAGTTTAAAGTAGGTCTTGTCACCAATTCCTAGACATTCAGAACTCTTTTTTTCAATTATTCTATTTTATTCTTATTCATGTGGGGGGGGGGGCCATGGCTTAGAAATACAGGCAGTATAAACACATAGTTCAAAAGACATGTAGGATATTAAAATATGCTTTTACCCCACAGCGGGTAGGGCATTTGCCTTGCACACAGCTGACCCGAGTTCAATTCCTCTGTCCCTCTCGGAAAGCCCAGCAAGCTACTGAGAGTATCCTGCCTGCACGGCAGAGGCTGGAAAGCTCCCCATGGCGTATTCAATATGCCAAACACAGTAACAACAAGTCTCACAATGGAGACGTTACTGGTGGGTGCACTCTCGAGCAAATTGATGAACAGTGACAGTGACGGACAGTGACAGTGACCCCTGTCCGTCAACCACTCAGATTCCTGTATAAGGGATAATCACCATTATTAGTTTTCATCTTTGCTGACAGAAATATTCTCTGTATCATCTCTGTACCATTATATTGCATACACCAGTGCATTAACAAAGTACCTTATATATTTAGGTAAAGTACATATAAGGTCGGGTAGGATGTTTGCCTTCCATGCGGCCGACCTGGGTTCGATTCCGACATCCCTCTTGGAGATCCCTGCAAAGATACCAAGAGTATCTCACCTGCACGGCAAAGCCTGGCAAGCTACCCGTGACTTATTCGATATGCCAAAAAACAGCAACAAGTCTCACAATGAAGACATTAGTAGGCATGCTCGAGAAAATCGATGAACAACGGGAGGACAGTGCTACAGTGCTACATATAAGATATGCATTATTTTATGAAGCACTTTGTCACAGCCAGAGACATGGCTCATCAGTAGAGCACTTGCCTTGCAAAAAAAAAAAAATTAAAAATAAATTTTAATGTTATTGTAGACATTCAGTTTTAAATGTCTGTTTTCTCTTATGTTTAATTGCCATCCCCCAATTGTGAGATTAAGATAAAAAGGGGCTCGTGTCTTGCCAGTCTCTCTTCCCTTCACCCCTTTCCCTTACTCTGACAGTGGCCTAGGGGCAAATCAATTGTCCCTAAACTGCAACCCACAAAAAACTCATCTGTCCTAATCTCCAGAAACAGAGACTGCGATCTCATTTGGGGAAAGAAGGGTCTTTGCAGATGTCATAAGGGTCTTGAGAGGAGGTCTTTCTAAGTTATCTGGGTGGGGACTAATTCCAATGCCAAGTGCCCCTGTGAGCACTCCCCAAGGAGAGATTGAAGGGCCTTATGAAGACAGAGATTGGAATGAGTTAAATTAAAACAGAAGTTGGAATGAAGTTTAGGAATGCAAACATCCACCCAAAGCAGTAAGAGGCAACGAACGAACGTCTCTTAAAGCTTCTGGAAAGAGAAGAGTGTGCCAGCACCTTGATTTTAGTTGTTGACCTCTAGACCTATAAAAGAATACACTGCAGCTGTTTTCAGCTTAAACCGCTGGTGGTCATTTATTTTGGCAGTCTTAGAAAAACAGCATGGTTTGTCAGCCCCCTACTTGAATCCCAAGCTTCTTAGCTCCTCTTCCTCTTCTTTTATTCCCCTGTCAAAAAAAAAGACCATTCCACAGGCTGGAGCGATAGCACAGCGGGCAGGGCGTTTGCCTTGCACGCAGCCAACATGGCCGATATAGGTTCGATTCCCAGCATCTCATATGGTCCCCCGAGCACCGCTAGGAGTGATTCCTGAGTGCATGAGCCAGGAGTAACACCTGAGCATCGCCTGGTGTGACCCAAAAAGCAAAAAAAAAAAAAAAAAAAAGACCATTCCTTGCTGGATATCATTGATGCCAGCCTGGATATCAAGCTTGCTAAGGATTCTCAAAAGATGATCCGCTGCCTGCCCAGCTTAGGTATATAAAAAATGTCAATTTGGGGGACTGGAGCAA